TAAGTTTCTCTGACCCTCAGGCAGGCTTCTCATTCTATATTTGCAGCGGGGACAGAGGAATTAGCATATGGAACAACCCTGGGAGCCAGCGTGGAGTCTCCACACAGTGGAACCCTACATGCTGCCCCTGCTTGCCCCCGACCCCCGCCCCAGCTGCCTGGAGAGGTCTGTTCTGGGCCTTCCAGCCTCATTCTGGGTGAGGTTTGTTCTTCTTTTCCCCCAGCCACCAGTTCTCCAGGTCTCTGAACTAAACTTCCATGCTCATCTCTTTTTCATCACTTCTCATGAAAGGTCCAGAGACAGCTCTCCAAACAGTCTCTTTTTCCTCTGTGGGATGTTTGTCAGCTGCTGTCACGTTACCCACTAGCTGGCCCACAGCCACTGGTTCTACATACACGGCCTAAGCTTTTCAGAATGGACCATCCGAGCCCCACACCGTGTGGACTGCAGGCTCCATGATCCATTTACCAGACTGTTCCCAGCCCCCGCATCCCGTGCTGGGCCTCAGCACTGTGTGAGAAAAGAAAAACTTGGACGGGATCCAGCACAAGGAAAATGATTGAAAGATTGGGAAGAGGCGTTGCTATGAGAAAGGGATAAAGGAACTGGGTAGGTTTAGCTCTAGGAAGGAATGGACAGGGAGAGAGAGATTGAGAGAGAAGGTCCCTTCGCTTCCTTCCTGTTCCTCACAGTTAATATAACCCATAAAGATACTTTTAATTTTTTTTAATCCTTGCTAGTGATGGACTGTCCTTATGCAGGATGTTCCATTGCTTAGGACGGGTGGTCTGAGTTGCCCAGTCTGTGCAATAGGGCACTGTTCCGTGTGCTTTCTGTCCCTCCTGCGATTTGCTGTGAGATTTTGATTGTGAGGAGGGGGAGCTGACACCGCGTGGGGACGGGCAGGATGAGGAGGGCAGGGCTCCCACAGGTGTGTTTGCCTAACCGTCCCGGGATGGGGACCCAGGACGTATATCCAGATTCGTTCTTGCTGGTGGGTCACTAGGTTTTACATAGCTGTGAGAGCTGGTAAAACCTGGAGTCAGTGGGTAGAGCATGTTTGACCCTTGGGAATCTTCAGGAATGAGAAGTTTAAAATAATGATGATAGCAATGGTTTCTCATTCAGGGCATTTTGTTAAACTCTTTTTATTATTTCCTCACTCTTCCAAACACTCTATGGTGTAAGCACAGTTATTCTCCTCATTTCACAAACGAGGGATCAGGCTCAGAGTTCTAAAAATATGTCCAGGGTCGCAGTTGGTTAGTTGCCCATCTGGGGTTCAGAAGCCAGGTAAGTCTGTCTGGCCACAGAACCCAAGGTGGTTTTGGGTTTTTAACCACTTTATTAAGATACAGTTTTGGGGCACCTGGGTGGCTCAGTCGGTTAAGCGTCTGCCTTCGGCTAAGGTCATGATCCTGGGATCATGTCCCGCGTCGGGCTCCTTGCTCAGTGGAAAGCCTGCTTCTCCCTCTCCCTCTCCCTCTGCCTCCCACTCTGCCTACTTGTGTGTGCGTGCTCACTCGTGCACTCTCTCTCTCTCTCTCTGTCCAATAAAATTAAAAATCTAAAAAAAAAATTACAATTTTTAAAAATAATAATAATTCCCTTTCCGTACAATTCACCAATTTAAAATGTGTAATTCAGTGTGGTTTTGTATATTATCTTTTTTTTATGGTAAAATGTATATAATATAAACTTTGGCACTTTAACCATTTCAAGTGTACGGTTCAGTGGCATTAAATATATCTACAATGTTGTGCAACCATTATCACTGTCTATTTCCACAACTTTTTCATTGCCAGTAACTCCCTGTACCCTCCCTGCCACGCTCCACAGTAGTCTCTAATTGGCTTTCTATCTCTGTGAGCTTGTCTGTTCTAGGGATTTCATATAAGTGGAATCCTACAACATGTATCCTTTAATATCTGGCTTCTTTCTCTTTATATTTTCAGTATTGATCCATATTGTGTAACATGTGTTAGGACTTCTTTTTAATGGCTCATGTGCTGGGGTTTAGATATTTTTTCTTCTGTGTGCTTTTACTGACAAGAAATTTAACAAGTATGAAATGAAGAAAATCTTCAGTTTTCATACTTCCATTTCCTGTGTGTGTTGTTTATAACATTGGAACAGTGTGTTCTTTTTTTTTTTTCATGCCCCAAATGGTCCTTGTGTCTCTTTGTATTTTTACCCCTTTATTTTTTTTTTTTTTTTAAAGATTTTATTTATTTGAGAGAGAGAAGAAAGGGAGCACAAGTGGGGAGGGGTGGAGGGGCAAAGGGAGAGGGAGAAGCAGACTCCCCACTGAGCAGGGAGTCCGATGTGGGGTTCAGTTCCAGGACCCGGGATCATGACCTCAGCCAAAGGCAGATGCTTAACTGACTGAGCCACCCAGGTGCCCCATATTTTTACCCCTTTAAAAAACAAAAACATTAGTAAAATACATGTCTATGGTAGACATTCAGAAGGCATAATGAGCAGAAAAGAATCCAGAGATATATTTATCCATAGAATCCACCATCTAGAGATAAATCATAGTAATATTATTACATGGGTTATATCACAGGGGAGCCTGGGTGGCTCAGTCAGTTAAGCATCCAACTCTTGATTTTGGCTCAGGTCATGATTTCAGGGTCATGAGATTGAGCCCCATGTCAGACTTCACAGTGTAGAGCCTGCTTGGGATTCTCTCCCTCTCCCTCTGCCCCTCCCCACTCGTTCTGTCTCTCAAAATAAAGTAAAATCTTTAAATGTGTTATATCACAAGGAGTTGGGGGGGCGGTTTGTGGCGGGGTGGTGGTGGTGTGTTTTTGGGTTTTGTTTTTTAAGTAAGGCTCTACACCCAGCATGGAGGCCAACACCAGGTTTGAATTCACAACCCTGTGATCAAGACCTGAGCTAAAGTCGGACACTTAACCGACTGAGTCACCCAGGCATCCCTATCACAAGGAGCTTTTAAAAATTGTTTTTACAGCTCTCATTTAATTTTCATGACCACCTGAGAGAACGTGTACTCCCCTCCTCCTCCTCCTCCTCCTCTTCCCCTTCTTCCTCTTTAATAGTTTTCAGATGAGGAAATTTGGCCTTAAGTTACTAACTTACCCCAGGTCACATAGCTAATGATTGGCTTAAACCTAGAGCAACGTACCGGAGCATTATGCCAGTCCCTCAGGCAAAGCATCTGTGTGTCTGTGTCTTTGTATTAATGGGATTGTACTATACATAGTGTTCAGTAACCTCTTCACCTTTTCACTTAGTGTTTCGTTAACAACTTCCATATTCATAAATACAGATCTCTCGCATCACCCATTTTGGTGGCTATAATAATATGCCATTTTGTAGTTACTTAACCAGCCTCTGGATTTGAACAGTAAGATTCTCCTCCTTGATTCTTTTTTTTAAAACCTTCTATGAACGTCTTCATAATGCTTAACCAGCTGCCAGTTCTAGATTTTTGAGGGATCTTGCTGACACCAGGATGACTTGGGCATGCCCTTTCTACTCTAAGACGTTCTGGTATCTGGCTTTGGGGGAGGCGAAGCACTCCCACCAGCCCCTTGGTTCCTGTGCAGATCATGTACCAAGGCTCGGACGTCCTACCAGAGCCAGCCAGCCTTCCTGCTGACCCTCTCGCACAGATCTTCCTGGTGTTGGAGGCAGAGGAGAACTGGAAGACTTACCCTGGCAGGCAGTCTTTTAGAGTTTGAGAGTAATTTGTTCATCACAGACTCAAGATCCTCATGAGATAGAATTACTTACCATTCCCCAAAATAGAGCAGCTCAGCCTAAACTCCTCCAGTTTTCTTTTGGTATCTCAGTGCTTCTAACAGGTTAGGATGCCCTGTTCTCTCCAGTGAACTCTTGCTGTCATTCACATCCCAAGAATGAGTACAATCTTTAGGAATGACAGGGTGGGATGTATACGTTAGTGCTGGCCAAGTTTGCACTGTTTATCTTACTGGAAAGTCAACAGTGTGACTATTAACCTCCCGCACAATTAACATCTAGGCTTTTTGTTATGGTTGTTCTTAAACTTTGTGGTTGAACCTGATTTTTATGAGGCAGAGAGATGGGGAGAAGACGAGAAAATGTGGCCAGTCGGGGCTAGATGGATCAACACCTGGAGTTGCTGTTGTAACTTGGAAGTCTGGTAGCCTGTGGAATTGGGTGGCCAGGACAGCGTAGATCAGTCTGCAAAGGTACTTGGCTGCTTTTATTTCTGAGGTTAAATGGGCCTTTTGAGCAGATCAGATTCCCTTAGAGAAGCTGAAGGGCAGTGAGACTACTTTTAAAGGAAGCCTTCTGCTCTTAAAAGCAGTTTGTTTTTAATTTCAGTGTCCTTTATTTTTTTTTATTTAAATTCAATTAATTAACATTTAATGTATTATTTTAAAAATAAAAAATGCCATGTGGTTAACATAGTAGTTAGCAAAGCCTTATCTTCCAGTGGTCACCAACTCATTCCTAGTAAAAAGAGCTGAACAGTAAGTATGAGGCACAAAAGAATGAGGAAGAAACAGGGTTAAACAGAAGTGGCTAAGGGCACACATTCCAAAGCTCCACTCCCTGTGCAAGTATGGCCCCAGTCAATGTGATGAACCAAGGAATTTTCTGGTAGTAAGGATAGATTGCCTACTGCATAGACAACCTTATTTACACTCCCAGATCGTGTCCTCGCCTCCTTTTGTATGTTAGTGTCACCATTTGCTAACAGGCACTGTGTGATACCGCGCACTCGCTCTGTGCCTCTCAGATTTTCCTTTTCATGATGAATCTCTGCAGTTGTCTGTATTTTTACCTGAGGAAACCAAGGCTCAGAGAAATGAGGTCAGTTGTCCGAGGTTGTGCAGCTAGCAACATCTACAACTAAAAGACTTAAAGATGGGAAGCACCGGTCTGACTTTCAGGTGAAACTTACTGGGTCACTTTTGACCACATTTCTGGAAATACTGACACAAGGAGGTCAGTCGTTCTTCTCTTGTCTGTTTTCTTTTCAGTGACCATTTGCTGGCTCCCTGAAGAGTTTACGGCTCTTCCAGCACTTTCTGGATGACAAATCACAGCTTCCTAATAGCCTGCCACTATGAAATTAATAAGGAGTTCCATTTCCACATAGTTTTTCTCAAGTACATTCTTCTCCCCACCCTACCCTGGGATCGCCTGGATACATTCAATTAAATAGGAATTACCTTTCAACTTTGTAGAGAATGAGGTCCTTCTGTGGCTCAGCATCACTGCCCCACATTTGGGCTGGAGAAATAAAAGATGATGGTATTCACAATGGAATATTATGCAGCCATCAAAAGGAATGAGATCTTGCCATTTGCAACGACGTGGATGGAACTGGAGGGTATTATGTTGAGTGAAATAAGTCA